GTTATCACTCTGGCCAATCACAAATTACACCGACAATCCAATGAACCAATCAAAACTCAAATCGAATACACGTAGCCGGTAAAAAGCGCGGGAAAACGTGTGTTTATAAGCCAGTCACAATTTGTTTTGCTCAGTTTAATTCTAATTGGATGTGAAAGTGGCGCGATATTTTCAAACCAATCGCAAAGCATAGTAGTGTAAAACCAAAGTAAATACGAACTACTCTTCGACATTCAAGTGAAAAGCGCCCTGTCACAAGTTCTTGAAAGTACAAATCCACTGCAAGGGTAAATAACCCTACCTTCGCCTCTAACTCACCTTTCGGCCATACCCTCCTCTGTCAGCGGCTCTGCCAGGTTCGGTTGCAGTCCTATCCGAGAAAGCCTCTCTTTGGCGACTGCTTCAAGCATTACTTTCATGTCAGGATACTCCATAAGTACCTCATGAAAATGAGGCGATCTCAACGAGTACAGATTACAAGTTGTCGCGGCTCGGATCGAGGCCACCCTGCGGGCTTCCTTCGTTAAGAGACATATTTCTAGTGAAAACAGAATCGCAAATAAACTGAAAAATTTGATTTAAGTGGGCGTGTGTGTCGGGTAGGTGTCCGGGAAAACGATTCTATGAAAGAAAAATCGGACTTAACAAAGGATACACCCCAAGAAAAAATTAAAAAAATACAGATTTTAATTTGCATTTTGCTCCTCACACGAGGGGGTGGGTGGGTCGGGTTGGGACGGGCAACCTCGACCCAGGTCCACCCCTGCCAATAGGAGGTATAAGTAGGTTTTTAGCTCAGTCTGGCTTACCACCAAAATGAGATCCGTCTCCAAGACTAGTGGCCAAAATCCCGTCTTTTGTGAGTACATCAACAATTCCTCTTTGAATGAAATACATCTTATCTCCTTTGCGGCCTGTCCTGCATATGTATTCACCAGTTAAATACACCTCAAATTTGAGCTTGCTGACGATGTCTGCGAGGAACTGGCGAGTAGCGTTTCTGAAAAAGGGCACCGTGTGAAGTAATGGGCTCACGTTGTGGACCAAGATGTCCTGGAAACGAAACGGAGTTAGTAGGCTTGTCTAACCTTCTGCTATTTCCAATGTTATTTTAAAATATATTATTACTATTAATGCACAAATTCTCCTCAGGCTTCGTATGGTATCAGTTGCAGAAATTCATCACAGATCGAGACGGTTGTCACTCTTCTCACGACCCAAATCTCTGTTTTAACATCAATGTTTTGAGATAAAATGAGCTATTGGTTACTGTCACGCAAGTTCACGCCCTCTCTTAACGCTGCGTGACAGTAGTACGACTTGGACTATATTAACGCTGGCTGGCTATTTACCTCCCTGAGTGCCTTGGAGAGCTCGTTCAGTATAATGTCCTCGTCGAATAGTTTTTGGTGGAAACGATGTTCGTAATAATCCTCCACCTTGAGGCGTATACGTAGCGGCAACTTCCGGTAACGCATATACTCCTTCACTTGACTCAACTGAAGAAGATAAATCAATCAATCAATCAATCAATTATTCAATCAATCTATTAGTCAATCAGTCAATCAATTATGCAGTCAGTTAGTCAGTCAATCAATCAATCAGTAAGTCAGTCAGTAAGTCAGTCAATCAATCAATCAGTCAATCGATCAATTAATCCGTCAATCAATCAATCAGTCAATAAATCAGTCAGTCAGCCAGTCAGTCAGTCAGTCGGTCGTCGGTCGGTCAATTAATCAATCAATCAATCAATCAGTCAGTCAATCACTTAATCAATCAGTCGATCAATCAACCAACCAATCAATCGATCGATCAATCAATACAAAAACATATCCGATATCTTCTCACCCGTCTCGCAATAATCAAACCATTTCTCAGAGCTTGCACAATCTCCACAAAGACTATTGCTTATGAATGTCACGAGCGTAAACTTTCTTTCCAAACTCTCACTCTTAAAATTCACTCATAGTTAATTATGACAAATAATTTTGACGGAGGATATTAAAGAAAGCTTAACTCAAACAGACTCGAGTGGCACTAACAAGATGAAGGACTCATTATCAGACTGACTTTGGTGGAAGATAACTGCGGTTTTCACAGAGGTTTTTATTCTGTGACGTGAAGATACAGCGGTTGCCATTGGTCAAATAACAAATGACTTGAATTAATTTCAAAAAAACTATTTGAACAAAAAACGCCTCAAGTTTATTCCCAGTCTTAACGTTCAATTTGAATGCTATGTGAAAAATGTAGTTATCCATTTACTATCTAGTAACTTGGTTACCTTCTCATTGTAAAGTCGCCCGGATGAATCAATAGACATGATCAAACTCGACATAATACCAATGAACACTGCATAGAAAGTGGCGCCTATGGTCATACTGCACAGCGTCAGCCAGACCTCTGGAATGGTCTGTGGGGGGTACCGTCCGTAACCAATACACAACATGTGCGACATGGCATTAAACAGGGCCCAGCTGTACTGACTGGCTGGAGACTTGTCCTAGAGAAGTGAATTTAAATGAGCTCAGTCACGGCATTTTGAGTCATTTTGGCCACGTACAAAATTACCTTTAAATTAAAGAAAACCTGAAAATAGTAGTTTACTTAGATAGAAAAAAACCAAAGAGATAATTTTAAACCGTAAAGGAACAAGGATGGTTAAGGATGGAGAAGATTGACACGGATTACAAATGACGAACTTGAAACAAAAAATAAAATAAAATATTTGTTATTCACGCAAAGCATTAAGAAACAACAAAGACGACTACTGAAATAGAATTGTGATTTCAATCCCAAATAGACAGAATAAAGGTTGCTAACCGCATATTCCCGGTGTTTGTTATTCTTATATAAGAATAGACCAGTTTACGGTTGCCTGTTTAGTGACCTGGCCTTTGAATGGCAGCGAGGCTGGAGATGACCTTGTTTTGATAAAGACCTCACTGTTTTTGTTGGCATTTAAATGAGAAAAGCAGAGAGGTCTGTACCAAAGCAAGGTCACCTCCTGCCTCGCTTGCAGTCATAAGCCAGGTAACTAAGCACACGTGCACAACTGCAAAATGGCCTATTGGTGCTGGCTGGTTTTCACTTAAGCTTGATTTTCACTACGACACAAGCACAAGCATAACCAAACGGTAGTAAACATGAGCAAATGATACCCCACTGAGACAAGCAGAACAAACGTTTTGTCCTTATTATGCTAGCTAGTTCTTACGATTACGCGGAGTCTCAAAAACGCTGGCCTGATTAGAAAAAGAAACTAAATAATATAAATCCGAAGTGTGCGTAATTTCTATTCACTTCATATTTTCTTCGAGTTACGGAGCCGAAGAGAACCTACAATGCTAAATGGTTTGGCACAATTACAATATGGAGAAATCCCTACGTATAATTCTTTTAAAAGGAATCGCATATAGGGACTTGTCCACATCGTAATCTATTTTAATTCATCCACGCTACGTATGTCATTAACATTAACCAGTTTGTTTTTCAAGTGATTTCCAGTCATGCAATTCTCGCAGTTCTCGAGAACTGCTTTAAAAAAACACAAATTTTAAACCAGAACTGTTGACTTTCTTATGATAGCTTATGATTTAAGGATGTATGGTGTGAATAAGATTCCCCCGAACCACCAAATAGAAAACATTATACGGCTCTCCCGGCTCGCCGGTTTTCCTTTCTCCGCAAACTCTAACTCTTCCTAATTGCAATTCGATTTGGGAACAGTGTCTATTATTTATTTAGTTATAGTTCTGTTTGGGTTATGAAAAAATGTGATGGCGGCTACCTTCAATCCATTGATCACGACCCAACTGTTGTCTGGGAATTCCAGCAGATACGGGATAAGAAACTGAACACAGCCATTCCAGTGTGATAACAACAGCATACAACCAATCAGCTTGAGGATACGAAGCTGGCCACTGGCAATGTTAAGCAGCTGACACACAACAAAAAGCATGCGCATTATTATCCAACTCTATTCAGCTTATGTTCTGGATGTTTCCGAAGTTGCTAAATTTGTGTGATCCACTGAAAAATGTGTCGGGCTGTACTTCATTTTCTTAAAAGTGATCATAATGAAAACTAGTTTTTGAACATGGTAAAATTTTAGCTTCCAAATATTTCTCATGCTGTTCTGTTATTTTCTTAACTGTAGGTTCCTTTAATTTTCGTTGGCCCAATTTTTCAAAGGTCATCAATTCACACTAACAAGCTGGGATACATAGTTAATGATAGCTGTTGTTTTATTTAGCGATTTTTACTCCTAGCTGATTTTAAGTTACAGTTTGACGTTTTAAAAGGTTGAAAACTGACAGGACAAAATCAACCAATCTTCTATGTAGCCATCTGCTATGTGCCCTACCTCTTCAAATCTTTTGATATATCGCACCAGTCTCGAAACACGCAGAAGTCGCAAAAGGCTCAACAACTTGGCAAGTTTGAGGATGCGAAGAGCCCGCGATGCCTTGATCAGCGTTTGCTCCGCCGACGAAGATGACACGATAAAGTACGCGTAATCAAACGGAAGTGACGAGAGCAAATCGATCAAAAACCAGCCTCGTAAGTACTTCCGGCGGATAACTTTCTTGTCCAGTATCACCTCCTCTTGATTGTTAGGATCGACAATTCCGGTTTTAAAATTCAAGCAAATGTCTATGAGGAAAATGCTATCGGAGATTCCATTTAGGATGAGCCAGTGCAGTGAAAGATCGTCACTCAAGAACGAAATGCTGACTGGGAGAAGAATCACATGCATGGAAATAAAACAGATTAGGAGGATATCCCAGTACCATCGAAATGTGCTGAAAGGATGAATCACTCCCTTGCCCTTCTGCTCTTGCCGGCGCTGTTCAATAAGAACGGCAGCTTTATTCCCGAACAGTTTCAGCGCCATCTTGTTGTCTGGATTAGCTGCGAAGATGTCTCTGAGGTATGTTAGAGCTCTGCCTCCTCTCGAGGCTGTAGACAGCGAAGACTGCAGGTTAGCATGTCTTGTTAGGGTTTCTACTGTTGATTGTTGGTCCTGGGACGGGCGGCCTCGCGCCTCGCCAGGTTCATTACCTCCGTGGAGACCTGCAAATATAAACGTCTTCAAATATCACAAAAATAACTGGTTAGATTATCACTGGTGCTGAAGAAAGCTGCCATTTTTTTTAACCAACCAAGCATTAGAGCAAATTGTTGGAAACTGAGTCTAAAAGTACAAAAAGCAAGATACGCGGCAACGCCTAATAAGGAAAACAGTTCTGCTAAGACTATCTAAAAGCGATGAGACAATATTTATAAGTTTTTCCTTTAAATAAGGAAGTTTTCTTTTGAGGAAAATATAACGGCAAGTCAGATGAAGATTAAAATAGTTTGCTTCTGGTTGTACAGTCCGCCGTGGACGCCAACTGTCGCCATTTGGCAACAACACTGAACAACAATCCTTGATTAAAACACAATTTGGTTTAAAGAAGCAGATTTGCTTGTGGGGTCGTGTATCAAGCTAAAAGTTTAAGAAACGGCAGAAATATGTACAGTGGCACTAACAATTCTATAATTGTTCATTCACAATAACAAACTCAAAAACTTCTAAAAATCCCTCACGTTCTTGCTCTGCGTTTGGCGACTAGACGAGCAGTTC